AAGTTTGTCACCGTTGGAATGTCAATCTTCCTTCATTTTCATGATTGAGCCATTTTGTTGTCTTTCTTTTCATGATGTTCATGCTGCGGTGCTGATTCATTTCTATGCCGTCATCTGGAAGTGTCTTATTTTGAAAACAGAATCTATAGCCATGTGGCAAACGTACCCGCGTAATCTCCTGTTTCCTTTCCACAGAGGTATACTCATTTATCAATCTCAGAAGGAAAAAGGGCGAACGACTCCCAACAGGGGCTTGAACTCAGAACCTATCGGTGCCCAAGCTCTGCGAAAATTTGGACTGCAATTTGTTGTGACCCAGTTGAAAGCTGACCTTTCACTGGCATATAAAGTTACCTGTAAATTTAAATTACATAATATAAATTTCTAGTAAAACCACAACACGCATGTAAGTGCTGTGAGTTATGTATCCGTTATTTTGCAGAAGGTTCATAACTGCTTAGTTTAACGTTAAATTATGCTTCGCTGTTCTAAAATGTAAAATAGACGATTATCTACTTTTCATTCATTGAAACAGCTCTGTTTGATACGCTTAATCGTTAATCGAGTGTCTTTAGGGCAAACGGCTTTACGGTGGCATACGGCGATGTAAAGCTGTCGAACGGATTGGCCGTTGCCAGAAACTCCTCTGACTATTTTTCCTTCAAAATTTCGTTGAACGAAGTTTTGTTCTGCCCACAGAGAGGCGTCATTTTGGAAGGTATTTGATCAATTTTGTGACATTTGTATTTGATTCATTAATATTAATGGCTAGTAATTGTGCTTTGTGTCGAACCGTGAGGACTTTTCTAACACCGTTTAATGATTTTCAGGCTGTATGTTGTCGAACTGTACGTGCAGGTGTCTACGCGTTCATGCTCATTTTTCTGCAGTGCGAAAGAAATTTTTTGAAGTATCTGTGAAACACTAGCAGCTGTTCTACTAAAGAAGCTTTCAAGGGAACCGAGGCATTGGTTTTCCATTACAGTTAACGTGGGTAGAGATTAAAAGTCCAAAACTTTCAAAGTTGGCACTGGTGTCCGCCAAGGTTGCCTCCTGTCCCCTCTCCTGTTTGTGTTGTTCATGGATAGAATAGTCAGGAGCAGCGAAGGTGATGAGTGTATCGCAGTAGGAGATGTGAGGGGGAGAAGGTTGCTGTTTACAGACGACCTTGTTTTTTGGCATTGCCTGAAACTGATTTACAGTGTTCCCTGGAAAGGTGAAAGGGTGAACGCATCTAAAACGAAAAGCCTATTTTTTTCGTTCTCCCGCCCGTTGCTCTCTTCAGATTAATGGAGAGGCTGTGGAGCAGGTGGAGAAGTTCAAGTACCTCGGAATTGTATTTACTAATGAATACAATAGTAAGAATTGGAAGGAATGATCGACCGGCGAATTGGAGTATCCAGTGGCGTTCTGGGTGAACTAGCCCGACCCATTGTGTCTAAAGCAGAGCTCAGTCTGAAAACTAAGCTCTCAATATTCAAGTC